GTCCTTTTCTCAGGAGATGTGTGTGGAATAAACATAAGCTTTTAGTTTTCTGAAATTTGGAGGATCTAACTGTAGTCTTGAAGATGAGCATCCGTATAATTTTACTACATATACCCACTCCATTTGCGTCCTGTCAATTGCTAATACCCTTACTTGGACATGCGCTTAGTTTATTTTTGTTTTTTGCCTTTTTGCACTTGCAGCTTGGGGAAAAAAAAATATATATTGAGTGATGGAATGACAAGGCCATCATGTCTTCTAATAATACTGAATGGGTTTTTGAAGGCCATGGTAGTAATAATCAAATCAATAGATTATGGAGGTATTGCCGTGCCTAGATTGATGGCTAAGTCTTGTATGTTATACAAGTCTAGAATTATTTTGGGTGCCTGGATTTAAAATTATTGCATGGATAAGAGGGCCAATTAAGTACTGAAAAAACAGCATTATTAAAACAGTTCTGGATATTACACGTGCTTATACCTCAAGGCAGATTCCATACCATAAGCACTGTGATAGATTCCATCTCTGATCACAGTTTTTGCCTGTAAGATTATGTTTTAGACTTATCTGACACCTCAGGCAAAGCTTCATCTTTGTTACTTACAGGCATGGCTCACCACTTTGCATTCCAAGGAATCACAGTTTTGCCTGGATTTCTACACAACTTGTACATTTCTGGAAAGCATGAAGAGTGAAAAGTTTGTGTAGGCTCCTGTTTGGGAAAGAAGAATCAAAACCAAAAGAACCCCCCTCAGCTCTTTCAGGAAACTGTTAGTTTGGAGCAGTTAGGAGTAGTATCTCCAATTTACAGACAGCACCAGCAGTACTCTGTAAACGTTTCCTTTTATCCTTACACTGGTTCTGAATGAACGTGTAGTTTAACCCTAGCCAGCAACTCACTCACTTTCCCCCCACCCAGTGGGATGGGGGAGAGAATCAGAAAAAAAGAAAGTAAAATTCCTGGGTTAAGATAAGAACAGTTTAATAGGACAAAGGAAGAAACTAACTGATAATAATGACAATAATAAAAGGATTGGAATATACAAAACAAGTGATGCACAATGCAGTTGCTCACCACTTGCTGACTGATGCCCAGTTAGTTCCTGATCAGTGATCCACCTGTCCTGGCCAGGCCCCCCGCCCCCCCCAATTTACACGCTGGGCTTGATGTCACATGATATGGAATACCCCTTTTGCCAGTTTGTCCTGGCTGTGTCCCCTCCCAACTGCTTGTGCCCCTCCAGCCTTCTGTTTGGCTGGGCATGAGAAGCTGAAAAATCCTTGACTTGTTGCTAAGTAGTGTTTAGACTAACTGAAAACATCAGTGTGTTATCAACATTCTTCTCCTACTAAATCCAAAACATAGCACTATACCAGCTACTAGAAAGAAAATTCACTCTAACCCAGCTGAAACCAGGACAGTGTCAGACATCAGGGCTTGAAGAAAACGGTGGGTTTTATGTGCTCAAACTTTTCTAGGTTATATATTGCTGTTGGCCATCTTTGTCAGTGAGAAAGAGATTGCATTGCATTTAGCCTACTAAAGCCTTACTTGATTGGGAATTCCCAAAATGGAATATACACAGGAAGAAAGCAGTTGACAGAAAGAATTGTTTCTTACTAGTTCATTATCACTTTGTTCAGGTTCTTTGTATTTGGAAAAAGAAACTAGAGCTACACTCAGTTTGCTCTATCTTTGATTTGGTGCATGAATATAGTTGAAATGTGTGTGTGTTGAATGGAAGATCTTGGCAAAATCGGGGTCTTGGTTGGATGGAGAGAGGTTAGCCAAGACAGTATATCTGAAAGCATTCCAGCCGCTACCAAGTGGCTAATCTTTCTTCTAGTCTTAATAGTAATGAGAATTTGGACAGTAAGAACTGAGTTTGTATGCATTACTCTGATAATACAGAGCAAGGGTATAAGGTAGAATGCTGGTGCCAGGGATGCATTCAGTTATATTGTCCACTCTCTATGTCTTGATCTGGAAAATTGGATTTTACAAAGATAACTGATTTTAAAATAGTAAAGAAGCTGTGCTAGTCTGGAAAACCTTGTACTAGTTGGCTCAGGGAAAATTACAGGCCTTTTCTACATCTGGAAAAATCAGACCTGCAATTCAGCATGCACACAGCTCTGACTGAAGAGTTAGCTACATTACTGAGAACAGGCAAAACCCACAGGGAAATGCTTTGGCCTTTGATGTGTCTGTGTGCCTGGGTCCCCATTTGACTGCTGTAGTTAATGCCTAAAGAGTCATACAATTACAGCCTGTATAGTTCTGTGGTGACAAGAGTGTTAATGCATGAGATGCTGCCTGTGAAGGTTCACAAGTAATTGCCCATCATGGGATTTTTGAGTAGTTCTATCAGCTAAAGATCTGTGGAAATCTTGTTTGAGCTACTTCATCATAAATACATTTAACCTATAGTTACAAGAAATGTCTCTAAGTCCATAATGAGTTAGCACTTAGAGTACTGAATTAATCCTGAATCACTGTATTTTCAGATATTCAATTAATAATACTGCTGTTAGTTACAGCTTACTTAGTGACTGTATCATTGAAGATTGAATATGCTGTTAAGGATCAGAGGGTCAGCTCTGGGATCAGACCAGGTTGCTCAGGGCTTTGTGCACTTGGGTATGGAAAACCTCCAAGGAAGGAGACTGAAGGAGCTCTCTGGGCAGCCTGTGCCACTGCCTACTGCCCTCCTATGGAAAAAAGTTTCTCCTTACATCTACTTGGTAGCTCTCTTTAAGGTTATGGTATGCTTAAGAGGAGTGAAACTTAAAAAAATAAATACTAATTTAGATATTTGAAGATTGAGATGAGTAGTGGTTATTTTCCTACTTAAGGAGTTGATTGAATCCAGTGTTTTCCCCCATTGATCTAAGAGGACAGCATTTTGCCCTCAGGGTGCTGCTTTGAGAAATTCAGTTAGTCAGCTGCAGATGCAGGGTTAGTAGTTATCTAGATGTAGAGCTTTATCTTACCTCTTTGAAAGCCTCTGGTGAGTGGATGAATCAGGTCTGTTAATTAAACAAGGTAGAGGCTGCAGAAACATGGAACAGGTGACAAGAATAGCAGAAAACACCTTGGCTTCTCTCATGGGCTGGGATAGCAGGTGTTGACAGACACATAAAGGTGGGTGTAGGAAAACTGTCAGCTTTTCACCTTCTCACCTTTGACAGAAAGGGAATAAATAGAACAACTTATCTTTTATGTTTAAATATCATTCCAGATGAAAAACTTCAGATTCTGTTCCCAAATGTGTCTTAAAGCAAAGAAAAAAAAATAAACTAAAACATAGAAAAAGCAAGCTTCTGTCTTCAATTGAAGTTAGAAGTTAATCTTTAAAAACAAAACCACTAACCCTTCTTTTTATTTCCTTTCTGACCAAATCAATTATATTGGACAAATTAATATTAGATTTAATAGACTTTCTGTGACATGTAAATAAAACCCAACTGATTTTTTTACTTAAGAAAATCACCATCGCTTCGCAAATCCTGTTTATGTTCGGGTCAAAAAAGGCTCTGCTTGTGTACTAACACTCTGGCCAGGAAAGTATCTGGACTATTTTGCTCTCAAAGTATTTACTAAAACTGAACTTTTCCATTTTATAGATAGGAAATCAAGGGTTCTCTAGTTTGAAGTGGTATCACATAATCAGAATTAGTAATAAAAATCGGTGTGCAGCTTTTGCCATACAGGTCTGTCAGCCTGTGGTCACCTTGTCTCTCAAATGTTTTTACTACGTCTTTACTTAAAATCAGTTTATTCTGGTTGCTTCTTCATACCTCTGAGTCTTTACAGTTTCTTGTTCAGAAATAGTAATAAGCACAGAGATCACAGGACTATGCAAATTACTTTTACATCTTCTAATGCCCGCTTTGGCATATTTGGTATTGTCAAGCATGTTTCAAAAAGTGATTGTGCAAAAAGTATTTCTTACGGGTAATTTCTAGTCTTCATGGTTGATTTAAAAAAAACAAAACAAAACAAAAAAAACCCAAAAAACCAAAACAACAAAACAAAAACCTCCAAACCCAAACCAAAAACCAAACACAAACCAACAAAAACTGGTGTGGAACCAGAAAAAATATTAAAAAAAAATCCAAATCCATCAAGCCAGTCTTGTGTGTGTGTGTTTTTTTGTTTTTTTTTTTTTTTAACATGACTTGAAAGGATAGAATTACTGACACTGGTAGTTCATCACATTGTAGTTGATAGTCTACTGTCAGTCAGTTGCTTCAGTTCTTTAGGCTGAAGTGGCTGACAAATCATTCTTCCAGTCTGCCCTAGTCATTGCTGATGTAGCTGCACCCTCTCCTGGAAGTGCTTGCTGTTGTGTTTGGCACTGGAGGTGGTTCCTGCTCCTCTTCGTCCTTGCCCCTGGATGTCATGGATGTTGGGATGAGGCAGTCTGGAGGGCCCTTCCTACTTGCACTGTCTGGCCTCCAACCCTCTGCTTCTTGCTCCTGCCTGGAGCTCCGTTGCAAGTTTGGTAGCATGTATCTCTGTCTTAATGCACAGAACAGTACTGCGGTGATACTCATTAATCATTCAGTACCTTCAGACCTGAGAGCATGCCCCAGCCAGTGAAGCAACCCATTCTAGACAGTCCTTGTGGATTCTGCGTTATGTTAAATCTATGACTAGTAAATTAGACGTGGTTGTGGAGAACACTTCTAGTTTCCGTTCAATTTTCTTGGTGTTAAACGCAGTCTTGCTGTTTTCTTGAATTAAGTTCCTTAATTGTGAATAAAGCAACAACACATTTCAGATTGTTTTTATTGTATTGCACTTAATACTGTTAAGCCAGTGTGAAACTTATTTTAAAATCTGTAGAAGCAGAGTAAGTTAGTTGACCATTTGTAGCCATATTTGTAAGTCTGAGATTCACAGATTACTCGTACTTAACTCAAGTTTTCTAAGGTTTATCTTCCTTCTAATTCTAAAGCCAGTTTATTTTCTCAACCTTCTTTTTAAACAGATGAAGCATGTAAAAGACAGATTTGGTGACAGCGTGCCAGAAGTGGTGCTTCTGCTGTGTCTGGGCATTACTTCAGGAGTTGGCAGATTGATCTTTGGCAGAGTTGCAGATTATATTCCTGGTGCAAAAAAAGTTTATTTACAGGTATGTCTGCATGCTGTTCTGAAGGAATATCAAACAATATTCTGAAGGCTCTAGTTGTAGGTGCGCTTTTTTCTCTTTTTAATGCTAAGGAAACATGTCTACTACTTGCTGGGTGTTTTCAGCTGGGAAAGAAATAAATTATTAATCATTAGCATGTGAGTGAGAGAACCTTTGGGGATTCTCTAGATTCTGCTTTCCCTGTTTTATCCCATGATTTCATAATGGTTGCAAAAATATTACTTTGTTTCCCTATGTTCTTCTGTTAAGGATTTTGAATATCTTTATCTTTGATAGGTGATAATTTGGTGTTAAGTATGTTCTGTGCATAGTGCACAAGGGTAAAGCTATGGCAATATAAGAGGTGCTTAGTTGAGATACTGCTGAATGGAGGGGGTTACTTGCAGAAAGAGTCACAGCCTCCAGAAATGCTGAAGCTTGGGGATGAAGGAGGGTATACACTTTTTTTTCCCCTCTGCACTTATAAACGATATTTTTTTGAGAAAGTAGCAGTGTTAGTGTAGATTTTTGGAAAAGCTTTAGTTAGTAACTTGGATGTTATCAACCACTGGGTGTTCCTGTTTTGTTGTTTTAAAATGAATAACAAGGGAGACATCTAATGGCTGTTATCTGTACTACATTATTGAAAACAAAAATTCTTATGAAAGAACCACCTTTCTGAAGATGGAGTATTTGCTGCCATAGTTAGATAAAATTAGATTCCCTGATGATAGAGACTGGGACTGTATCTCATTCATTTGCATTGATTTAATACCTATTGTTACACTTTCAGGAAACATCAAGATAAAAAATAAAAAGGCAGCATTGAGATGTTACCTGATTTCTAAAGCGCAAATACCAAACTTGCAATAAAACTACAAGCTTTTTAATTCTTTTCCTTGAATAACTAGAACTGAGAACTATGGACTTTTGTTTAGGGCATGAACTAGGTGCTTCTGAGTACTGTTGGTTTCACCTAGTTTTAAGCAGGAAGAACATGTTAACTTTTGCTAAGTCATGCCCCAGCACCTCCAGCTCTCCTGTTTCAAATCAGCGTTTTTGAGGGAAGGTGAATGTTCACCTCAAGTATTATTCTGCCTTGACCAACAGTTCATACTATCATCCTATCTCATGCAAAAACTATTTAAGAATTAATTTTGACTAATGCAAATGAAACCTCTTTTGTCTTAGAACTTTACTGTCTTATAATTGAACAACTTACAAGAGTTCTACCCAGCAAGTTCAACCTTCATCTTCTGTTTCTGCATTCTTTGTTAGGGACCTGTTTTGCTGGATTTTGCTTTATAAATTCTGTCTCTTCTGGATACAAAGTTTAGCGATTCTGGTTTTAGTGCTGCTTTTACCATAATGTGATAAAACAAAGAATCTGGTCAACAATATCTTGTTTAGAGTTTGTCTACAGATAACCACATTACTACTTAGATATAAACTCATCTCAAATAATATTTGTATTTTCTGTATCAGAATACACAGAACTGAGAATTTCTTCATCTCTGTCCTTAAGTTCCTATAAGAAGCCCAGTTCTTCAGTGTTTCTATTTCTGTACCATGCTTCAGATGCTTCACAACAGTTTTTCTTTAGTATGCCAAATAAAGTACCTTACCCCAAAAAATTGTTATGCTGTCTTGAAAGTTAAGTTTCATATAGCTGTCTGCTTAAAAACTTTTCCTAATGAAGTAATTTATTTAGTGTCACTTATCTGTCAAAAAATTGTGATGTCTAGTAGTTTTTAAGTGACCTTGTTTTTCTTTAATGGTCTACAAGTGACCAATGTGTAATGTTTGGAAAATGTGTTTGTGCAGTTAGGTGGGAAATTGGTTTCCTATGCCAACATGTGAATGGTGCATTTTCTTTTTAATTCTGCTTCATTTTGCTGAAAGACAGTTTTATTCCTTTAATTTACAACAAACAAATAATAATCTTAGATTAAATTATAATACAAAATCTTTGTAAGTATGCATGGCTACAGGAATACAGCAAGATACCGTCATGTGGAAAAATTGAAATGAGACTTTAAAATACTACCTCTGTGGAATATAAGCACCCAGAAGTAGTCACTCATAATACTGATATTTTTACTTAAATTACAACAGTGAGGAGTCTAATTATAGTGGTTTAGCTATATTAAACTTTTGCTATTTTTGTGGCTTTCATTTGTGAAAAGAGCAGAGAGTAACTTTTCAAAAAATGTTGGTGCATGAGAAATGGCCTTACATAATTAGTGCAGGATAGTCGATTACAAGTGCATTTTGAAAACTTGTGAAATGGGTAGTGGAATTTCTTTGATGGCATGTCATGATAGTTATATTTGTTTCTTTTATCTTGGTATGTAACTTCTGATGGTAGTAATCCATGGAGACTGCTTATATTTATTTTAAAGTAAATACAGGTAGACAGTTTAATTCACTACAAATGCAAGAAAGCTCATCTGTTCCCTTAATCTTTGCTGATTTGATGCAACATGTTTTTATATTTTTTTCCTTGGTCATGTTTAGGTGGTCTCATTCTTCTTTATTGGCCTGATGTCTATGATGATTCCACTGTGCAACGTCTTTGGAGGTCTCATTGCTGTCTGTCTCTTCATGGGCCTGTTTGATGGGTGCTTCATTTGCATTATGGCTCCTATTGCCTTTGAGCTTGTTGGGGCTCAGGATGTCTCCCAGGCCATAGGATTTCTATTAGGATTCATGTCAATACCGATGACAGTTGGTCCACCCATTGCAGGTAAGTATAGATATGGTCTGTAGCAGTGAGTATGTTTCTATGGTTGCATGGCTTTTTGGCCATATTTTCCATTCCTACATCGTATGCAGTGCACTTACTTGGAATTTTCTTGGTACTGACTCCAGAATATATGGTGAATTTAACTCCTGCTCGTGAGTTGTTAATTTACTGTACTCTTTAAAGTTTGCTTCAGCCTTTTTTTAAGCTGTGCAGATCTAAAACATTCCTCAAAAGACAGATAGAATTCCAGTTGGATTGAGGACCTGACATTTTCCATACTGTTGAGGTGACAGCCTTTATGTTGATTTTGTTACAGAAGGACTCCACATTAGAATCTGAAAATTAATTGGACTCAAATTTGCTCATGCAAAAACAATTGTGAGGTTAAAAGCTCCAGTCACTTTAATTGCTTCTTATAAGTAGGAACACTGGCTTTTTTCATTCTCTAGTGGGACACTGACAAAGTACAGGTTTTGAAGATGAAAACTGGAAGTTATTTGGGAGGTGGAAATAGCTTAAGCTATAATTCTTACCACTGATGGTTTTAATCATAATTTACCCTAAGGTCTTGTGAGTGCTACTGAAAGATACTTAGTAAGACGTAACTGAACTATGCAGCATTATAAAGAACAACATTTTAAAGCTAGAACAGCATAGACTAAGTGCTTCCTGATCTGGATACATTATCACAGCTATTAATACTTAAATAGAATTTGATTAATGGGAGGATTTTTTGAGGGAGCAATTAGAGTGAATTGTTGGAAAACACACTTTTTAATAAGAGGCTACCAGGAATGCAATATATGCAGTATATCTAGAATAAGATTGAGGCACCTTGATCAAAGGCAAGTGTTACCAAAAGAGGGAGAATTTCTCCAACTCATTGCAAGATTCAAGTGCTAGAGAAGCTAAAATAAGCAACTTTCAAATAGGAAATATGGTATGTGTTTTTAATGATGGGTGGTAACTAAGCAGTCGAGTGGTGACTTGCTGAGTTCTTTGTTGGCTTGGAGTCTTTAAATCAACTCTGGAATACCTTTCTACCTACATATACCTATGTTTGGCCATCCGGTAGTCAGATTAGTGGTTATAATCATCTGTGCCAGCTCTCAGGTTTCTGAATCCAGAGAAAAGACATGTCTTTTGTAGATTCTCAAGGCCCCATTATTTATCTGTGGTAACTTTGTTTTCCAGGTTTGTTGCATGATCGCCTCGGCACCTATGATATAGCATTCTACCTGGCTGGGGTCCCTCCCCTGATTGGCGGGGCTGTATTATGTTTGATCCCCTGGGTTCATGAACGGCAGAAATTAAAAGAAAGAGCAAAACCTGTTGATGGAGAAACTACTGAGAAAATGCTGGAAAACGAAACCACTTTGGTGTCAGACACTACAGAAAAGCCAGTCAAAGAAATGGAATCTGGTTTTTGATGCTTTCTTTTCCTGTACCAGCCTGATGTTCTTCTACCGAAGCTAGATTTGTACTTTTTGGACTATAAGATACTAAAGAAGTCTTGAACTATTGCTCAAATTGCAAAACTGCTATAAGAATCTTTTATACCATTGAACTTTTGATGAGTCGTTGAGTTTGATTTCGAACCACATTTTCAAGGTATTTGAAGTTTTGTAGCATTAGTGTGTACGTGTGTAGTGATTCTGTGTGTGAAGAGAATATTTTTCTAACTCATCAGAACCTGTTTCTGGAGTGGTGAAAGCTATTTCTGGTTCACTGACCCAGGATTCTTCAATAACTTTTATGGTCCTTTCAATGCAGGCTCACCGTGGGTGTTTATACTTGAAAATGTAGTAGCTCTTATGACTGATTTCTTTTGAAGTTTCTCATGCTGTTTTACAGTCTTACAATTCTATATCATGAACAAGAATAGGCATCTTTTTGATTGCTTTAACTCTTGCTGAAATCATTTTGCGTTAGAAAGCTAAATTATTAAACTTCTGTTTTATTTTCTCTAAATACCCCAGCCAGCTCAGTTTGCTTAAACACTCACCTGTTTTTGCATTCACCTTTTCACAGTAGCCCAAACAAAGAACATTAAGGATGAAATTTTTGATGGGCACAGGTTTTGAATATGTGCAAACTAAGCTCCGAGTACAAACACATTCAGAAGTAAAGCTGCTGAATGATAGATTTTTTTTTTTTATTTGGTGAAGGCAATACTATTAATATATATGTGTACATTTTTTTTTTTCCAGCTAATCCTTGGAATAGCTGGTAGTTTTGAAATTGTACTGACAGCAATACTTTGGAGCAGTGTTGTGAATTAGACTAAATTTCAAATTATTCTGTTGTACTTGTTAGGTTCTTTTTTTAGTCTTAAAACCAAGACAGCTTTAAAGGATACATTCTAAGTGCAATAAGTTGGTTTGTTTTTTTTTTTAATGTGGAAATATATACAAGCTATTAAAATGACAACAACTGAAGATTTTTTTGCACTAAGTGAACATGCAGGTTTATTATAGGTCTTTATAGCTGTGTTCAATTGCGTGTAGGATATAGCTCCATATTTTATTCAAATATAAAGAAATGTCTTTGTATGTCCTATTTCTTGCTTAACATACTAAACATATGACCCTATTACTTATGTATTCTTAGGTGTTATGCACTGTTTGTCAAGCAGGTATTTCTGAAAACCTCTTTCTCTGGAAAAATATTTGAAAGCATAATACTTTGAGATGAAAACACTGCTTTTCAGTTTATCATAAAACACTTCCAAGTACATTGTTCATTTGTGGATATGGATCGGCAATGCAGTGGAATACTTAATCATTCTTTTTCAGGTCCACTCAATAACAACAATTTTTGTTTTCTTGCTTAGAAGTGTCATAGCAAAGAGTAAACTAAATGTGATCTGAAGACAAAATGCACATTTAAGTGCATTTTCTTAATTAGTAACAATACCTCTTCTTTACATAAGCCACGGAGGCATACTGTTTTAAAATCATAACTTTTCTATTTTTATTATTTTTTTCCCAGAGTTGTAGTAAATGGCTCAGAAAGCCCATGTATGTTTGTGATATAAAACATTATATTAGCAATACTATTGCATAGAATGTTTATATCTAGCAACTTATAAAAGTTCTTTAAAAATAATCATGCAAAGCATGCTAATTATTGGAGACCAAAGCTCATACCTTTTTCATATTGCAGAATTTCAATCCCTGCTTTACGTGAGTGAGTTTTAAAAGAATTGAATCTTAAAATGTTAGAGGTGCATGGGAGGGACTTGGAGGTGGGAAAAAAACCCCAAACCAATCTGTAAAACAGAGGTCCCTTTAGGTTCACTGGGACTTGTGCTTCTGCACCTCATAAGTACTTATAAAACTTTGATTGTGAAATATTCATAGTATTGTTAATTGACTATGAAGTGCTGCCTTCACTACAAAAATGATGTTAACAGCCTATGCTGTTGTTGTCTGAAGTATTTCTGTAGAACATGTTACTCTATTATCGTCTATTTGGGCAATGCAAAAGGTGCTGAGCAAGTGTAGTAAAAGCCTCTTGTTTCCTATGGCTTTGTTATGAAAAATTAGTATTCATCACAGAACTTACATTTCATGTGTGTTAGTGTTGAGTTTTTAACCAAAACCAAGGCTGCTTTTTAGCACTGATGCAATCTGAAATCATTGTGACCAGGTATCTTGATGTAGTTGTGGCATCTTCCTGATTTGCTGCTCTGTACCCATATAAATTATCTGGGAGACAATATAAAGTAATTGTTGTTAAGTTTTAGAAATAATACAGAAATAGTATGGATTAGTTATTGCCATACCCTTTAAAAACATACCTGTACATAAAAATCCAAACTCTCATATTTGAGTAACTAGAAATGTAAATTATGCTCACAAATATGAAGGACACGTTAAAAAAAAACCAAACAAACAACAAAACCAAAACACACAAAAAAAACCCCAAACCAAAACAAAAACCAAATGCAGAGACTTTAGAAAGAAGGTATGATGAGTGAAAAATTGTTCAGGAGTGATTACTATGTTAAAACCAGCTAGTGAATGAGATGTCAGACGAGGGAAACAGAGTTTAGGGGTAAGACAGCTATGTTGGTGTGATGATGTTGGAATAATGAATCTATTTCTGAAGCCTGTGCTTGTTTAACAACAATGCTAAAATTGGAAAGGCTTCAGAAAAAAATGACTTTTCAGGAAAGGTAAAAAAAAGTAAATTAATGCATGAGATTTCTGTTAGCATCTTTACTGTTAGCTTGTATCTATGGGGAAAATGTCCAATAGAAAATGTTCTTTATTGGACATAAGCATAAGAAGATTGTGTTGTAAAGCTAGGTAAGATGTAGGTTAAATAAAAGTGAAGTTCAGATTGTTAGCTGTGAGGCTAACCATTGAGAAACTTACTTAGATATAGTGGATTCTGTATGCCCTGAGGTTTTAAAAATAAGCTTAGCTGTCTCCCTTTAAAAAAACGAAGCAAAACCCAACCGAACCCCAAACACAAAAAACCCAACACAAGTAGCAACTATTTAGTACATTTATGAAAAAAATGATTGAATAATGTAGAAACAGTTGTTATCCTGAAAACTAGGAGAGAAAAGCACTGAATAGTCAATTTTTATTTTGACTGAGTAAATGTAAATAAATTTTCGTAACAAAATTTAATTTTTGTTATGAAAACCTGTTCATGGGAAACCTGCTGAACTCATGTTTTGATGACCTAATTCATGCCAGATTTAATCTTGTTGGGGATAGATTCTAAAATTAAAATACTAGCTTAGTTCAAGAAAACCCTTAAATCATTCAGATTTATCCCTCTCTTCAGAACAGTTCATAGAGTACTTTTCATAGACCTTGTTCTCCCATCCTATAAACAGAGTAATCATCTTTTTTCTGTTAAATGTTCTCAGGGTGAGCTTCAGAAGAAATTGGGTAGAAAGAAGTTCACTTAAAATGGTAGTGTGAAATTTCCAGTCCTACTTTATGCTGTAATTGAATACACCAGATCTTGAAAACCAGGACTAATTTTGAGCAAGGAGCTGGTTTTGTGTGTGGCTGACACTTACCTCTTCTCAGTAGGTATGAGATCCTTGTAAATCTTAATATAGTTGTTCAGCAAAGAGTCTTAAATAATGAAAACCCTTCAGGTTCTTATTTACATCTAAGCTATGCAACAATATACAATGTATAATTAATAAAAAAAAGTATTGTTGAATTTATTCTGGCTACATGTTAGAAGACCTGTACAAGTCTCAAACCAAGACTTCAAATTAACATACTCTTTGTTAGAATTTCTTTCATCCAGATCTTTGTCTGTTCAGCATTAACATTTAATTTTTTTTCCTGAGTTTTTGTTTTCAGTGACCATTAATGGACCTTCCTAAATTGTTCACTGAACTCAAAGATGACATAGCCGTTCTGTGGCCATCCTTCAGGGTATGTTCAGGATCAGATGAGGTAGACAACTGACATTTTTCTCCTTTGGCTCTTCATGCACAGTGCTGACATGGGGCAGTGCCCTGCTTTGCTGCTTGCTGCATGGGAGCCCACGTAGCGGGGCTCATCCGTCCTCTCTGAGCAGGGAGCAGAGGTGCTGCCTTGCTTGGGGCCCAGGTTCCCCTCTGGGGAGCTGGAATGTTATGGAAGCTGACTTCCAGGCATCTTCACTCTCCTGTTGGAAGTGACCCTCTGATATGAAGAGTGTGTGTATGTATGTGTATATAAATACAATGCGTTTTGAGCAAGGCATACACAAACATTCTGCATTTAACTACAGGAGCTGTAGCACTGGAATGTGGGAGACAGCTGAGGAAAAAGTAATTGTTTTCATTTGTGTGTTTCACTGTTGACAAGCACACCACCCTTACAGTTCCAGACAGCCAGTGAGTTTCTAGTCGTGTAAACTTCTGTCATGTTTTCAGTATGCCTTTTAGTCTTACCTATGTATATTGTGTCATTTTTAATGTTTCAGAACTGCATATGCTAAGATTAGAGTGATTTTATACTAAAATGTGTGCTAATATTGATAACACTGACATGTTTAAGTATCTTTATAGACATCATCTTTTGTATGTTGTTTTGATATTAAAGGATATACATTTTGCTAGCCTTAACTCCCATTCTTTAAAGTTCTGCGTTGTTAGAAGGGTAAGAAATGAATGTCTAATGTTTTTCATGGTGCTGAAGTAACTGTGATCAGTCTCAAATTATTCAGAATAAAGATGGTAGTTCTTAAGTGCCCCATTTGTTACTGCATGCATCATTTTTAGTCTTGTTCTCCTATAAAACTTGTCATTTTTTAAAAGTAATTTTATGTTATATTCTGGTAATTACTGAATTTCATGTGCAGACTTTATACAAAAGTCTTTACAGTTTTTATTACCACTGTGCTCTGATTGGAATGTCCCCATTACATTTGCCCCCAAATTAATATATGGTGCAACCAGTTCATTCTGATTGCACTGACGATCCATTTTAAGACCCATGGTTTACAAACTTAAACTACTGAGTTCCAGAGTTACATGCTTCTGTAAATTTTATCTACTCTATTTTCCATTCTGGCATTTAATTTCAAACAGAACAGTTGCATTCACAAAAGGCAGAAGTAAAATTGAGGGAGGGAGGGAAACTGTAGTAGAATAGACTGAGTGGTGTTTTTAAAGAATTTTGTGGGTGGTTTTTTTTGGTTTTTTGTTTTTGGCCCCCCCCCCCCCGAACTGCCAGTATAACTCAGTGGACCTTTGATCATTTACTGGCCTACTACCAATTTCACCTTGACTTACCTTGGCAGTATGAAGTGTTTCCTCATTGATAGCTTCAGTAAATCACAGGAGTTCATTCACCTTTCCTTTGTAGTAGGGCAAAATATTTCATTTTCTTTAACAAACATATCTGATGATAAGGGGGAAATACTCCCATTCCACCTGGGGTTATTCTCTAGACTGCTTGTATTTCAAATTAAAATTTGAAAAAGATGCCTGAAACCTTGATGAGAGCCTGAGTGCTGTTGCCATTTGTACGTGCTTAAGGTACAAAACCTCTTTGTAAGTATGTAAAACAAAAATGAGAAGATGGCTATGGAATGTTTCAAATAATTCTGTACATTTTTCAGGAAGCTATTTTTATACCAGCATTTATCATGAGAGCTAATTAACAAGGCAAAATACTAACACCTGGAAATGCAGTTTAACTTGTATATGATTTTCAGAAAAGAAATACTGTTATTTTATACTTGAAATTATTTTATTTGGAATACTTTCTGCCGATGGACCTATGACCAGAAGCTCAGCAGTGTTCTGCAGATGTTTGACAGTAAGACTTTGCAGTCCTTGCAAAGATCTGAACAGTCAGATTTAAATGTTATCTTGCATGGTGATTTGTTGTAGCTAGATTTTTTTAATGCATGCCTCCATTCCCTCAGGTTATCCTGAACTGGAGCTGTACCTACAACATGCTAACCAGTGCTAGGAGAAACAGGATTAGGTTGCTGTAATCTACATGCAATGCCTGTTTTATTTTAGCATGTATTTCTGTTCAGAGCAACTTGGAAAACAGACACAATTCAGCTTGGAACTGCCATTGCGGGGCTTAAAAGTGACAGGTATGGAAGTTAAAGCCGTTCTTACAGTGAGCAGCACCTCTGTGCCCAACAGCGCTAATGAGACATTTTGAAAAACCTGTAACTGCTCTTGGCAAGGGCTAGAAATTGACGTGGGAGCGATTTGGTACGAGTTAAGGGGAGACCCTCCCGGTCACCCCTCTCTGTGTCTGGGCAAACTCTGTAAGTGTGATGTGACGCAGGCCATGTAGGAAGCCAAGACCTTTTACGCTCAGTTGTCCGAAAGGCCCAGTAAGCTTCGAGTTATGTGGTAACACAGGATTTAAAACAAACAAACAAAAAACCCAAAAAACCCCACAAACAGAAACAGAAAACCAAATCTGGTTTTTAATTGACAGGCTCCTCACTATCACGAGAGCAGAGGCTGTCGGCAGTGTGCAAGCTCAGCTGTTACTCTCCCCAGCGTTCCCACCCTTCGGAACCCGCCCCGAGGCGGCGGTCGCTGCAAAACGTCCAAAAAAA